ATTAATTTTTGCATTATCAGAGTTTCCATTATAATTTGCTCAAACTCCTGGTGGATGGAGGTGCACAGATGTTAATGTACCACAATTGCTTAAACCACACAAAGCGTGCTCATAGCTGGAACACCTGCACTGAACAATAACTGCAAATACATCACCTGGAATTAACCACACCTGATCAGAGCCTGGACAGTACTTTCTTGAATGGGTAAGCACCACGCAAAAACAGGTGCTTATAGGCTGCTACGCACAGCTATGTTCTTAGCAGAGAGTGGTGCAGAAAAGCTATTGTACTGTTCTAATGCTCCAACCTCTATGCGCCTTGCATTAACCATTCCAGACTGACAAGTATGGTGAAGTATGGTCAAATAACCCCCCCACGATCTGCATGGCGCAGGAGGCGCAGATCCAGCAATGGACTGACGAAAATGGGCTCGTAATACACATGCATCGTGTACTCGGACAACATATTTTTCTATTGTACATTGTCGTAATAAAAAATAATAACGTGATAATATCAGCTGCTGTGGTGTAAAGGTTAGCACATTGCATATTCAATAATCAATCATAATTTAGTACATTTGGTATTCGTGCCATTCTTATCGTGCAAGGCTAACACAAGGGCACCATGTTTCACTGACGTTCTGCAGCAGTTTGACAAGTCGGGGGGCTATGTTGCTATGTATCATCCCATAATGATTCGTTTTCACGTATTTTTTGCTAATCTGGCAAATATGGACCTCGCCATATATTGCCACTTGTATTTTGCTATGTGCCTTCTCGCGCGCTACGTTCTCAATCCTCCTGCCTGAGCTCAATCCACAGTCGCTCTTTGTCTCTTCTTACCCCCCCCCCTTCACTGGAACAAAATTTCCCTCCACATTAAAGTCGCCTTCCCTCACTCGTTTCCGCTCCGCTCAAAACATAGGTTTTTTTTCTTAGCTCACCCGACGAACCCTTAATCCCCACCCCCCTCATAACCACCACCATTACAGTTCCCTCTCGATATTCTCATTATATGGTTATCATTCTTTCCCTATTCATTTATTCAATCCATTCATCATTTACCGTCGTCAATTTCGCTTTCACTCAATTCACGCATCCATTGCTTCCTCATCTATTTCATTCACCTCATGTCCACCATTGCATTCACACACGCATTGTACCGTTGATAATTCTTTCTAAAGCGCCTTGCTCAAGGAGCTATATACATTCCGCCAAGATTAAGATAAGATGACCGCAGCATTCTTGGGTTCGAAGCTCTGCACCATGCGGCGAACGCGCTTGCCCCTCGGCCACGACACCGCTGAGGCTCCACTGCTGGACCCGGCAGTATGAACGTTAATGTACACCGCAATTAATCGACCGCGATTGTTTGTTCTATCGCGCAGTTAATCGATAAAAAGATGGTGGGGTAAAATGTGGAACCCCCCCCCCCCCCCCACCTCACACAAGTCAAGTCGGTGTGGAAGAATAGACCAAATGTCCACCAGGGTTTCCCTCGCGTGGAGGCCCTTCCATTCACAGTGGTGTGAGCAAGCAATTTCATATTTGAAACTTTAACCTTTTTTGTGAACAAGTACATTTATATATTCATATAGCAGTAAAGCCACGTGGATGTTCTGAGATTTGAACTCCACTTGTCTTCGTGGTTACTTTTCCAGAAGATTGCAGGCAGTTAGAACCACTCTGCACAAAGACAATGCCACTCAGGACAAAGCGTTGCACAGTCGTGCTCAATTTATGCAAGAGATGTAGTCATGTGATTACAATTAATAGTTTATTGACCGAGGCAGTTTTAAACCTAACCACTCTGCCCCCCGACCCCCGCCTGCTCTGATGAGTCCGGTGTGCCTGATACAGTCGATGACCCTGGTAATGTCTACCCAAGGATATCAGGATGTTGCAATGCATGTGAAGATGTGGAATGAACATTTTGTAAAAAAAAACCTAACCACTCTGAATTTGTCAAAATAGGTTTGTGATACCTGCTATTATTTAAAAATACCAAAAATAATTAATTGGATATTGCATTAAATGTCACTGACACAAGCATCAATGTATTAATTAAAATTACTCCAGAAATAAAGGGAACATATGGCACAAAGTCTGTTTTCGCTCGTGGAAAAATCTAATAAAAATGTCCTCGAAAATTAACACTACAGTATACGATGGTCATAACACGATGTTGAATAAAACTGGGGGAAATTCGACTAAAAAAAGGTACATCTTGAAAGTCTATACATTACACTTTTAAGTTCTGATTTATCGTTATTGCTTGGGAAACCGTCGGCAGTATTGATGCTGCATAAATCATAAGCTTCAACACATGCACTTTTTAATTCAAGGATCATTTGGATTAAATGTCGGAGAGATTCTATCGACGGAGGCAGCGGCATTCTAGGAGAGAATTATTTTTTTTACCGCTGCCTGGCAGTTGATCTGGGAGACGGATTCTATTCAAAACCAATGCCTGTGTTGCCCAGATTTATGAGCAAGTGATCGAGCGACGCGACAAAGAAATTACTTGCTCCGCTCAGGGGCTGCTTGCCCTTTGGATAGAAGCAGTAGTTTACAATAGCAGCTGGGTTTGAAAATATGCCAAGATGGCTTTTTTTCCCAATTGTTTCCAAAGCAAACAAATCAAGTGCTGGCCGTTAGTTACATACGAGTTCATTCGTAAGGTTTAAATGTTTTGGCCATCAGGGATATGACTGTTGGTTAAAAAAAAAAGAGGTTGAATGTCACTGCATGTAACCTTGAGAATGATTGATTATATTTGGTATACACATGCTCACTTGAAAATCTCCACTGACTACACCTGCTAAGGGGTATTGGGAAAAAAAAAACCTCCAGTGGATGTCGGATCCACTTGACACGAATATAGTAAGTCTTAACTTTGAGCACCTTGTCAATACAGCACTTGGATGTTGGTTGTGAGGGTTGTTTGACCATATTTCACCATGCGGGTTGGTGGAGGGGAGCGCCCAGTGATGTTAGCCATGGCCGGCAATCGAACTCCGGTTCCAGGTTTTATAGCGCAGTGCACGAACCACTTGCACCGCAGCTCCACCCCTCATTACGGGGTTTGAATTCAAATGTGTTTTACTTGAGGACCTACAACATACGTAACTCTTAATGCATAAATCCCTGCATAAATACACGTGCAGATTGTTTTATCTGCTTGGGAATTAAACATCTCAATCCTTTTACCAATATTCTCCAAGGCATCTTAAATGGAAAATATTTGCGGTGGTGCTAAAGTTGCCATGTGCAGTACAGTATTGCATTTCATAAGCGTTTATTTGTAGCAATGCAGTGTTAACTATAGCCTATGAAATGCCCCAACTGAAAATAAATTAGTACATCTGCTCACACAAATTACCCTCTTCAATGAGAGCTTTCATACTTTATTTCATTATCTACATATCTCTCCAGATGATGCAAAGCCTCCTCCCTCCTCTAACTGTTCTTCTCTCCCCAGTGACTGCTGCTCGTGACAGACAACTGGAAACCTGCACGGCTAATTTTCTTGAGTTGTTTAGACCAAGGTGAGCCGCGCCGAGTGCTTATGTCGACACGTGTCCACTCAAGAGAACCTTAATGAGAACAATAAACTAAAGTCCCAGGTATAGAGTCCTACATTATTAATCATTCTGCTCCAGTTTCAGGTCTCTAATTAAGTGCTTGTCACACTGCAAAGCCATTACGTTTAAACACAGCTCATCACTTATTCAAGGGGGCAGGGGGGGGGGAACTAAATGCCAGCACACACGCACAATGTGGACTAAAAACGCACAACATCACTTTCCTGTGGAACCTGCCAGCAATTGCATTGCAAAGAAAAGGACGGAATTTGAAAACGACTGCATTCTCTGGATTATAAGACGCACGGGAAAGTAAGCCCAACCCCACACGTGTGCCCATGTGTCAATAAAGTTATGCAAATCTGGTCATACACGCGCACACACACAAATCTACTGAATGATAAAAAAGTATTCAACCCCCTCCCCCCCCCATCCTTTGCTTTAAAATAGAGGTAAGAGCGCGTCTTTTGTAGATGATACGGTAACACTTGGCAGCACAGTTCCAGCAATGTCTTCGAAATCAATACATAATGTACTTTTTAAACACGTAATTCAATATTGGTGATGAAGCACCAGAGTACAGTTGCATGCAACGCACCGCGATAAAAAGAGTGCTTAAGGAACGGAAGGCAGAATTTTAAACGCAGCCCTTTGACAACGACGCTGGTGGCCACAAGTAACCTAGCAGGGCAGCGGACTCGGGTTGGGAAACACTTACGGGACCGTTGGGCCCACTACTTCATCTCGCGCGGACCGCAACCGCGAGACCTATCACTACAAGCATCTTAGCCGCACACCTGCTTCAGAACCTGTGACCCCCCCCCGACAACGCCGTGTTGGTGAGGGGAAAGGAGCTGGAATCGCGTTAAGTGCAGTAGAGGATGAGCGTTCCTGGGAAACGCTATGGTGCGCGTGTTAATGCGTGGTGCATCAAAAGTACGTGAAAAGTCCTAAATCAGCCTTCGGGCGGAGCGGTGGTACAGTGGTTCGCGTGCTGCAGTGTAAAGTCGGTGACCCAAATTCGATTCCCGGCCATGGCGGCGAGTATCAGAATTGGTTCATGCCCTCGCCGCCTCTTTATCAACCCACTGACCAGCGTGGTGAAGTATGGTAAAAAAAATAAGGCTCCCATTAGTGACATGGTGTGGAGGCCTTCATCCATCAATGCACTGAGAATTTACTGAAAAGGACTTATTTGAAACCCACCCTCATCAGCATCACTGATTATACTGAACCTCCGATGCAGCGTATATCGAGGTGGCAAGGAAGGATAAGATTCCCCCCCCCCCCCCCCCCCCCACACACCAGGACTTGGTTTGATATATTTCTCACTCGGTCAAATTTAAACTAATACTGCTTTCTTTGTGTTCTCAGCTGGTTAAACATATAAAGCTGGACTTCGAGGAAGGCACTCACCTGGAGGAGGGAGGGCGGCCAGTTGCTGTGCCGCAGGTGCTTGACCTGGGAGATGTGACGGCCCAGGGAGCGGTGCACGCTGCAGCACTCATCGCAGACGAGCACGCCACGGTTTATCGATGCCCAGCCGGGGTCTGCTCGTTCAAACGAGCAGACGACACAACAAATCAATGAGAGCCGCCATTCCCACCTGCATGCACGCTCCTCTCCACGCGTGTAATAATGCAATCGCGTGACACTGCTCTTGTCTGTTAAAAAGAGGTCACAGTGAAGTGTGTTCGAATGTAGCAATACAACCATTTGCCAATGCACTGCTGAACGAGGGCATCCCCACGCCGTTGCAGGCAATGAGGGTTATCAGACCACACTTAGCCAATCGGCGTGCGTGAGGGTAGCCCATCCAAGTACTATCCAGGCTCATACCTGCTTAGCTAGATTGGAGACATTCCGGATGATTTGGCCACGGGCATCCAAATGCGCAGGGCATTTAATACAGTTCACATCCACACACACCCTGGCAGTATCGCTGCAATCCATACAGCGTCGTCTGCTGCTGCCTTGGATTGGTTGAATGATCTTAACATTCAACTATGACATCTATACAAATTGTTGCTTCCCCCTTCCCCCCGCCCCCATGCCATATGAAAGAAGACAACAGTTTGCTGTAGTCACACGGAGCAAGCGTGTTGACCCCACACAGGTATGTGCCAGGACTTTACAATAGCAAGTGACCTTCATTATGGAGTACTGTACTTTTGTTTGCAAAAGCTATTGGTCATATACCGTATTCTCCAGACGCTCCAGAAAGTAAGACGTCAACCCAACATTTTGGGCCCACTGAAAAAGAAGTGTATTTTATGATCGTGAGAATACGGTACAACAGTACTGTAGAAAGCTATCTTACGGATGATGAATATGAACGCATTGCTTTAAATGGGAAGAGATGTCCTCCGGAAGGTTATTCTGAATGGCTGGTTGTGTTTTTTTTTAGTCCTCTGGGTGAGGAAGTATTTGTATCGAGAATTATCTTACAGAAGATTATACTTAACTACATTAAAATAACGTCTTTTGAAAAAAATATGATGCGTTCCCCAGATGATAACATGAACACCAAAATCATGCTTTAAAACATAAGACGGGGGGGGGGAGGAGGTGCGTCTTACACAACTGGAGAATATGGTATACCGCGCCACAGAATACGAATTTACAAACCAGTTCTCTGAAGCGGAAACGATCTTCAGAATATCTCTACCAAACAAAATTGTGCTGTGGCAACAAGGCACCTGTGGTCAAAGCAGCAATGCAATTTTAATGGTCCTTCCACAAATCACACATGGTTATTTTTCCACAAAAGGGGCACACCACATTAATATGTTATGCATTAAAATCTTGAGGAAGCTTAATCTGAAAGCGACTGTGCCACAGTTTGTTTTTGCTGGGCCTTCGATGTCTTGCCCGATGGGTAATTTTAGGATTTGTAACCTTAGTCTGTCTCTCAGCAGGAAAGTTGGCACCATGTGTGATAAAACCAAGACAGTAAAATTCAACTCGACACAAACATGGCTCTACACAATGCTTTCAGGAACAAGCTTTGACTCGGGGAAATTAATCAAATAAAACAACACTTCACAGCCACTCGATGATTTTAAAGCAAAACAAATTCCTATTACTCGCACTTCACCCGTTCCATTCTACAGTCCTACACAGTAAAAACATAAAACAAGTTCTGAGCGCATAATGAAAGGGGAGGGAAAAAAAAGGATTTTCCCTCGTGTTTGGTTTCAGGCCAAAATTCTGCCTATCAAGCAAAGCACCACCCCCTTGTGCCAAGCGGCATATGGGCCATGCCGCTTGGCTTGAAATTCTTAAAGGCACGTCACTATGAATTAATGCGCAGCGGTAGCACTTGCCCTGAGAATGTGTGACATAACGCGTGAGCGCGAGGATTTTTGCCACGTAAAATAGCGGCATCTAAATGTGAAGTAAAGCACCCTCTGCAATTCGAGCACGGAGAAGGAAAAAAAAGATATTTAAATTTGAAGTTGTAGTGAATTGGTATAAGTTTTTTTTTTTACCAAATGCGTTAATGGTACACTCAATATGGCTTAAGCGTATATTCTACATTTCAATTTAACTCTGTAGAAATCGTACGTCAAGTTGTGGAATATTTAATTTAAAGAATATACACGTTATTACTAGTCAGGCAAGGAATTAATATCATCCAAGTACTGTACTGTTTGGGCCATGTTGAGCATGTGGCTTACAAGCGGCTGTGACAACTTGCGTGTTAAATAGAAAGCTGTAAACGATATCCGGAGTAAATCGTGCGAGGCATTACCAATGACAAAAAAAAGCAAGGAGCTCAGAAAACCATCAATCAGTCAATTGTGAACGACAATGGGCTGAGCTGGCTCATTTTGCTCATCAAAATCTAGTTTAATCTGTCGCTTGCCAAGTGCGCACTTTAATGCCACACTGAACGTAAATTATAAAGAAGGTAAAAATTGTTCGATCCATATTTCTCCCTGCGCTTAAGTGCGTGCACAGTCCTCTTGTAAATCCACACACTGGGGGTCGTGGGGATCATTTCACCATGCTGGTCAAGGTGAGCTTGTGAAGGAATAGATGTGGAGGTCATAGAATTATAGTACAACGGATTTTGTTGCATCATGTGACCTCGAAAGCCCTATGACAACCTGTTTTTGCATGGCGGTCATACGGCCATACCCTATCCAGGCTCAAACCTGCTTCGCTTCTATGATCTGATGAGACTGCAAACATTCCGTGTGGTCATAGGCTATGCTTCGCAGAGCCTGCTGCCTCAAAATTCCACGAAAAATAACGTATCCAAGTGTGTATTAGCTGCTAACAACGGCTCCCGCTACCAAAGCATGACTGTGCGCAGAACCGATACGCAGAACAAGGGCAAAAAAAAAATGTTTGGGGCAATGTGGTCCGTACAGCTGTCTTGCGAACAGGTTTAAAGAAAGGAGCTCAAATTACAGCAGTTAGCCGTGTGCTGTGGGATGGCCATGTTTGGGGGAGGCAAAACCACGGGCGAGGAGAGGGTGGGTGGAGGTTACGGGGATAGCTCCAGCAGCAAGATGCACTTTGTGCTCAAGCATGGGCGCAAGAATGATGATACACTTTGAAGGTTTTGTTGAATGAGGCTATTTTACGACATTCACGGTCAAACAAAGCGATAGGGTTATTTTGTCCCTCCCTTGTTCAGGGAAATGACTGGAAGAGTTGTTTTCAGGTTCCATTGTGATATATGAAACCCACAAGGTTTTACTGTACTGCCATTATTTCTAGCAGTATAAGAACGCACGGATTAATTATCAGTTAATTTTGATGCATAGTCTTCTCACGATGTGTGCATTGAATCACGTGGGTATCAATCGATGTTTTTATATTCGTACGTTTTAAGTTATGGATTTCACGTGATCGCTCCAGCCACTAGAGGCCACTAATTCACTCGGAAGTAAAAAAAAAGAATCGGCTCTCATAAATTCACAAACCTGAATCTTGACAATTCATTGAATCGTCAGAGAAGTGCATTGTTACATCCCTCATTATTACTCGTTACGTACGCCTATGGAGTAGAATGAATCTACAAACCGGGTTAGATTCCCAGCCACGGCTAACATCAGTGGCAAGTGATATCTGAACCGGTCCTAGCCCTTTACCAAGTCCCATGGACCACCGTGAAGTATGGTAAAATAACCCCCGATTCTTCAAGGGCGTGGGAAGGCCCTCATCCCAAAAAGAACCATATATGGCCAATATACTCGACCATACTTTGGTTAGGAATTTAGTTTGCTCATATCATTAACATAATTACAGTACTATGCCACTGTGGTGTCGTCAAGCAATGGGCACGTTTATCCATTCCCTCGACTGCCTCTGTCCATCCAGATGAATGAATGAGTACACCACAATTAGTCAATCGGCAGGTGGGTTACTCCCCCACCTTTACCAAGACAGCCCTGGCCAGCATAAAAGTTGAAGCCAAAATACCCTCGACTCTAAGAGGCTCTACAGGTCCTCCCTCTAGGTGGAGGTCCTTCTGCGACGTGTGATGTGAGCAAATAATGGCACGGCTGCTGATCCATTACCATTTACTACACTGTCATGTAATTCACATATGTTACTAAATTAAGATTGGGTAAAAAAGAAAAACGTGTCCATCAAAAGTATTCAAAACATGACCACAGCCTAAAAAAAAAAATTAGAAAAGGTTTTACCCTTTCTGCATTAATCACATGTACTTGTGGTGAACATACGTGTGGTTAATGCAGGCACGATTCCTTGCAAAAGGTTTGGTGTTTCAACATCTTAACACAGCTGTTTTATTGATGGAAAAGGGTAAAACCTATTATTTTTTCATACTATGATACTGGCAAAAAAAGGTCCCATGTTATAACAGTCCGCAAACGCTATCATGCAATGGCTGCCTGCAGGAAAACATAGGATGATAATCGGCAAGGAAGGCCTCCGTCCGTAGTCTTTTTTGTACGTGGAACGACAGGTGTATTTTGGTACACGGACCGATGGATGGTGATAAGTGTGGGATATTTTCTTTCCACTCGGCTTCCTCTGTCATGCTATCATTTCTTGGCTTAGCCGGTACTCATTCTAACATCCGTTTCGTAAAAAAAAAAACTGAGAGAAACGGAGGGGAGTCTCTAAGCTTGGGGGTATATATTTATTGCGTAGACAAATAAACATAAAAAGACAGACTTGGTGTGGCCAGCTCGTCACCGCTGTTATTCAGTTAACACTTTGGCTTGAATGTGCCGCAGTGTATTTCTGGAGTGGAGCTGAACTTTGAACTGTGGGCACAAGAGGCAGTTCCATTCGCCCGCCCCCCCCCCCCCGTACTCAACTGCAATGCGCGAATAATAGCAACTATCCAATGCCGAGGGGTGGGTAAGTGTGGAATGGCAAGTTGTAAAGATACAAAAAATATTTGACAGCAGAGTTGTGAAAGCTAAATGTGTGTTCAAAGGGGTGTTCTTCATAAAAGCAGCAATGCCACAAGTACTCTGGACTCGACTACAGTACATGCCACGCAGGCACCACAGGGGGTTGTGCGCTATGGGGGCGGCACACAACAGGTTCAAGAGATGCC